TGTCCACAACTGTCCATACAAGAGCAAGTCAGAGACTGAGAATTCTGCAGAAACTAATTTCTTGAATCCCCAAAGCCTGCCCACCATCGACAAAGCACAAGTTGGATGTTGATAAAATACTCTTCAGTTACCTGGATAAACGTGACTCCAACAACACTAGCACTCCACGTACCATCTTAAACATTCACTCCTACTATTAATACACCAACCTCACTGCAATATATGCTAACATTCCACTTACTTTCCTAATTTCATGCTAGAACAGCATGCAGCTTTCCTGTGATTCATGGATGAGGACACCCAAGATCCCTTTGTATTGCAGCATTCTGAACTCTCCCACTAGTGAGATAAAATTGTTTTCTATGCTTCCTGCAGGTGTGGACAATCTTGCGTTTTCCCACATTATACTCCTATTAAATTTTTGCTGACTCACATAATCTAATGATTCTTTTTGCAAACTTTTGTACACTCCTTACACTCACCTCCCTATCATTGTATCGTCAGCAAATACTGTCTCTGTCCCTTCACTCTCAAGTAGTAACACAGACAAGTAATGAGCTAATGTTTAAAAAAAAAGCAAGCCAAAATTCAAATTGTAACAGGTGAAATTGGTCTTCACCAGTAGTGAAGAACAAGCTCATAGCAACTCAGTAGCCAGTTTTGCACACTGCTCAATTATCTTTACTTCATTTTCAATGGATCAGAAAATTATGCGCAGTGGAAAAGAGGTTGCTGATCCACTGTGTGTCCACTAGTGGCAAAGGCCACTTTCACTTCTAATATCTCGAAGCAGACACATTGTCAAACTGCGGCACTCACCATGACTGCAATGACGCTTATGAGTAGCTCTTACTGACTCAATTTACAGGAATTAAGTTTCATGCACTCTCTACCCAGATGTGTGCTTGTTTAATTGTTGCACTGAAACATTTTACATGTTAATAAATGTAATTTTAAAGCTAACAGGCTAAACTCTCAGCTGAATTCCACCCTTAAAATTCAATTAGACAATTAGTGTTTTGACGTTATCTACAGTAAAAAGATTATGCATTTAATTTAAAAACTACTGCTACATTGAGACGTTTGAGGAAGAGTGCCATAAACATTGATTTGTCCAAATGGAGATTAAAAGCAACCCAATGAGACTCTGTTAGAAACAGTAAACTGGCAACACCACAAATTAAAATTATCTTAAGTCAAATTTAAACAAAAAAAAGCCTTGAACCAGTGTACAACAGTTAACAGGCACATATTTTTGAGATAATAATAGGTTGATTGGTCAACTGTCAACATTATATTATAAGGTGATTGTTGGGAGAGGGGAAAAAATGAAAAGCCTCTTTTTTCGTCTGAATGAATTTATCATCGTGATTTGTGGGATTGAATTAGTTTTCAATAATATTGACTTGATCAAGCAAATGAGAAATTAATTACATTCTGTTGGATTTTGGTGGTTTATAAAACATATTCTGTCAGGAAGAATATGGCCCAAGTCAGAAATAAGGTTCTGGGTTAATGGTCTTTTGGTTGGTTTTATAGACTAGGCTAACAAGTGACAAAATACGTAACTTAAAGTATGCAACACACCTATGTATATTAGTTTGCATGGTTATGATGAGTTTTAACTTGATTTTAGTCATCAACAGTTGTTACAGAATCACACATGGTTCTACTAGTCAAAGTATATTAATAGGCTTTGGAGAGTACTTGGATGTGTCAATCGGGACATTTGCAATGATAGTTAATCACTTGATGCTATATACTCAAGCCAATGCACAAATTGCCAAACCAGTGCCATATTATCTTAGTACAGACTATGAAGTAAGAAAGAGGCACAACAAATAAAAAAGATGTGGCTGACATTTTATGGAACAAATCAGAGGATAGTAGTAAATGTGATCTGTAGATCATCAATTTTTAAGAAACCTACTAGAAATTGGACATGAACTGTTTAGCCAACCTGAGATTAATTACGTGTTGTTCACGAATTTGCAAGACAATGAAGTTCAGGTGCCTCCAATAATGTATGGTAGTTGTCACTGGCAAACGTTAATATATGATAATTCTTAGTGCTTCAGAAGACCCAAGACAGAAGAATAACCTTAGTCAACAGAACAAAAGACATCTGGCAATGCAGCCAGGAATAGGAGATGGTGCCCCAAAGTTGACCGAATGAAAACCACTGCTTTCATTGACTATAATTTCTTCTGCATTTGCAATGATCAACTCAATTTTTGTAAAGTTTGTGAAAACGTACTTGCACCTGGAATGGGTTCCGCAACTAATCAAGACTAGCAAACTGTTAAATTGTCTCTGTCAACTGAGTCATAGTGTATTTCAGTACAGAAAAAGAGATCTTTCAGCTCGTTATATCCATGCTGGTCATCAAGCACCTAGCTACTCTAATCCCATTTCCCAGCATTTGGCCCATAGCTTTTTATGCAAAGGCACTTTAAGTGCTCATTTAAATGCTTAAACATTTTTGTTAACGAACCAATTTCTGAATGGCAGCCAGTGACTAGTGGAGTACTACAGGGATCAGTGCTTGGACCCCAGCCTTTCACAACACATATTAATGATTTAAATGAAGCAACTACATATAATATCTCCAAGTTTGCAGTTGACACAGTGCTGGGTGGGTGGATGACCTGTGAGGAAGATGCAGAGGTGCTTCAGTGTGATTTGGACAAGTTAAGTGAGTGGGCAACTGCATTGCAGATGAAGTCTAATGTGGATAAATGTGGATCTATCATTGTAATTGACTGAGTCTTACATATAACACTAACATAAAAATCTTAATTTATATTGCTTGTTTCTGGATTATTTTTGAATGGGCAAATTTATAACAGACTTTTCTTGACTAAGTAACTTTTATCGTGTTACTTTCCTTAATTGTACTGGAAATTTTTAAGTTTATATCACAATTAATGGACAATTTAGATATACCTGCCTGACCACATGCTTTTTGAATATAGCAAAAAGCACTAATTAAGATAGCTCAACTGCTAGTTTGTACATTTCCCCACTCAGACTGCTATTTCAACTACTGATCATGCATGAGTGGAATACATCTATTGTAGATTGTTGCTCCTTTGAAAAAATATTTCAATATTATGCTTCCTTTAAAACACGCAAGCATTTTTTTTTAAAAACCATGTTCATTTTTTATTTCTTGGCGGTTTTCCCATTGTGCTTTGCATATCCATAGTACAGAACCCATCAAACAAAGATGACGACAGAGGCCAGCTACCCTAGCTCATCCAAACAAATGTATAGCTTACTCCAGTAGACAGAGTTCTACAGCACAGGGCATAAATCAAGTTCAAAACTACGGCAAGCCAGAGGAACCTTAAGAATGATGAGAAATTTGCTGAAACTTTATGGTTTGACTGAGTTTTTGGTCACTTCCTCTAATTTATCCTTACGTTGCTCAGTGTAACACTTTGACAAAATAAAAACAAATCTGATCCTGTGAAGTGCCATGAGATGTTTACTTTGTTAAGGTGCTATATAAATAGAAATAATTAATGTTGAAAGTTAGTGAGTAAGTCCAAGCTGAGATTTGGTATGAAGTGAAAACTGGACCCAAGGAACAATGCTGGGATAACTTCTGATTGCAAGTTACATCAATAATTTGAATTCTAAAATCAATGCAAATTGATCATTTTTGTGAAGAAAATTCTATGAATTATAAATTTTATTGGTTGCTAACAGCTCCAATTTGATGTTAAATCTAAATCTTGGCAAAAAAAAAGTTGATTCAAGAATAATAGTTGGAGCAAATTCACGTCAGTGTATGGGATGTGCTTTGAAATGTATCTGACTGCCATCTTATAAGGCAGAACATCTGAAAACAGTATTTATACACAATAACATCTATATCTATAGTTTAGACATATCCAGCCTATCTGGAGATGAAATTACACTTTCTGGATCACATACTTTATTAAATGATATCAACAAAATCAGTTCATTTCATTAGCAGATACTCAAAATGTACCAGACTTGCACCTTACTCCTACTTCAGCTTCAGCAACAACATCCAACAATCTTTGGTCTGTCCAGACATCGCCAGCACTTTGATATTGAGATTCTTCATCAAGTCCTTTCCAATACGGAAGGACTATAAGTAAAAGTAAGAATAGGAAAACAAGTGATCAAACATGAGGATAGAATGGTTGGATTCGAAATTTATTGCTTGGGCTTTTCTGCAACGCATGATGTGCAGGATACGACAGCAGGCTGTGAATGAGTATATATCTGACACCAGAAAAGCTGTATCACTATACTGTAGACAACCAGGTCTGGGAGCTGAATCATGCTGTCTGCGCTTTAGTGAATGAAGCTGTATGGATGGGGTCTCTTAGTAAATGCTTTCTCAGAATATTAGGCCTGTTCTTATTGTCGATGCCAGGAGCTGGGCTTCAGCCCCATTAGTGGGGAGTACAGGAGAGTGTTGACAGGTCTGTATTCAAAAACAACATGACCAGGTTCCCAGCAGATATGATACAGTCATACTGGGGCTTCTCAGCATTACTATCAACAGTAAAAAGAGTATTTCACTTTTCTACAAACAATACTATGAGATATCATAAGCAGGTAGATGTAGATAAATGTTCAGGAGACGGTAACAACATGATTTCAAGATCTCAGTAAATTCATTTTAAAGAACCAATTACGAGGTGCGGATTTGATTCTTATACAGAGGTTCAAAATTTATAAGGAATAGAAAAATCTTAAAGTTTCAGTTGACACTGATGATCTTGTACTAAATTTCAAATTTTTTTTAAACTCACCAACATGTTACCCAAATCATTTTCAGTAACTGAACAGTTGGGAGATTTGAACTGGGAAGAAACTTCTTTAGGTAAAACATCATCAATATATTACAAAGAAGCACTATATCCTTTTTGTTAGAAACATTCAATTCAAAATGCAATAAGTTCACCCAACAAGCCCCTCTTAAACCAGTCAAATTTTACATTACTGTGTTGACTTACCTAACCTCAGATGTAGTGGTTATAGAGGGCACCACAACTAATTGCCCCATATTTGGTCGAGAGCTCAGAGATAGGTGTGTAATAACATTTCTCAACAGGATGATAAGAAAATCTCTCTGCTGGTGGTTCTCCATTTTGCCCAGCAGCATCAACCAATCATTTGGCAGCAGTGGCTCAGTGGTTGGCACTGGTGCCTCACAGCACCAGGGACCTGGGTTCAATTCCATCCTTGGGCGATTGTCGGCGTGGGTTTCCTCTGGGTGCGCTGATTTCCTCCCATAGTCCAAAGAGGTGCAGGTTAGCCTTGCTAAATTGTCCAAAGTGTCCAGGGATGTGCAGGGCAGATTGGTTAGAGGTGGGAAATACAGAGTTTCAGGGATAGGTTAGGGGGATGGATCTGTTTGGGATGTTCAATGTGGACTTGACAGGCCGAATGTCCTGCTTCTACGCTTTAGGGATTCTATGAATTGACTGACTTTGTAAGGAAGCACGTACTTTTCCTTCTGGACTATAAACTGGAAAATGGAAATTATTAGCTAAAGTGAGTAGACTTTTGCAAGCGAAAGATTAAGTGGGAACGTGGAGAACACATTGGCGAAATAGGATTATGCTACTTTTCGGAGAAGTGAGGTGAATACTGGAACAAAAACAAGGAACAAAAACAAACTTGCTGGAAAAGTTCAGCAGGTCTGGCAGCATCTGTGGAGGAGAAAACAGAGTTAACATTTCGGGTCCAGTGACCGTTCCTCAGAACTACTCAGAAATACAGTGAATACTATATACAGCAGAGTGGGACCAGGAATCTTTGCCTAACAACAGCCTTCAGTTTGATTTAACTGCTGTTTGTTACAAACCTGTCAGTGCAGTACATGCAGATGGGAGGTGATGGCCTAGTGGTACTATTGCCAGACTACATTCTGGAGACCTGGGTTCAAATCCCACCAATAATCTGAATTGGGGGAGTGATCAGTTAATTAGCTAGTGAAAAATCAGCCAAATTAGTTCAGTTGGGTGGGAGTTAGTTTGAAGATCTAAAGATTCTTGGTTTAATCCTGGGTTGCAGCAGAGTAGACTGTGCACTCAGATATCCAGAAGCCCGCAAACAAGAAGCATCTCTCATCATCTCTCTTTGTGAGGGAAAAAAGTCAAAACTTGAAGAGTCTGAAAAGTGAGAACTCAAAGACCTACTCAATTAGCTATTGAATCGAATTATTGCTAGAATCAAAAGAACTGAAGAAAAGAACTAAGAGAAGTAACTCTTTTGACTTTGATCTATAGAACACGTTTTCCTAATCTATATCCTCCAACTAGAATATTTATGTTAAACTTCCTGCTCATCTGTCTTATTTGTGGCTGAATTTGTATGAATTTGAGGTATTAAAGGGTGAAGCTTAAGTCACATATAAGTAAATTAATAATCCTTTTCTTATAAAGGACAAAAAGTGCTGGAGAAACTCTGCAGGTCTGGCAGCATCTTGGGAGAAGGCAGAGTCAGAGGCAATGTTTCAGGAGCAGTGAGCCTTCATTAGAAGTGACACTGTGACCCACACAACTGGCAGAGACTGAAAACCAAATCTCCTGCTGTTGTGTTGAGATGCTGCTCTCTCTCTTTCTATTCTGATGGCAGCAGCAGCAGTGGCTCAAGACCTCATTGCTTTGTACATATGCCTTAACTGTCAAACAGTTACAACAGTCTATGCACAATGCACTGCAGAGATCAGAAGGGTGGATGGTTTATACTCAGGCCAACTGCGCCATCCACTGGCAAGCAAGGGCAAGCTGGGCAGTCATGGTGCTCTTTCAAAAAGGGCTGCAAGAACTAACAGGTTTTGTACAGTAAAAGTCAAAATCTTGCAGATGTATGCATATATTAGCAAGTGAAGAAAGAAAGAACGCTGTTTTATTGTAGCAACGTTATTATCTACTGCCAAAGCAGTTCTTTTACATTATGGCATAATTTCCTGAAATTCAGTACTCATGTAGACGGTTTTAGTATGAACGTGAAACACATTAAAGATGGACACTCTGAAGATCCACCTAGAAATAGTCAGAGTACGTCCTGAGAACTTTAATTTTACTGAAGGTTAGGTTGTAAATTTCGATGTGCACAAGTGATATAACCAATTATGCTAACCAGAGTAACCTAGAGTTATGCTAATCACAACACATCTCACTGTTTTTAAATTTAATGTGTGAAGCCTTCAAAAAAATGTTTTCTCATTTCTCTTAAAACTGCCCTTCAAACATAATCATCTCATGCTTGTTCTACAAATCACATCTTATTTTGGATTTGGGTCTAGTTGTGCATGAAGTCCAAACCAGGCGCGAGTAAAGCAAGATACTAATTCAGCAGTCGATTTATGCAAGTGAACAAATCATTATTCTTTGCTCGCCTACACTCTGTGACTAAGCTGATGCTATTTCAGTGAGCTTCAATGGTTTGAATAATACTCATAGCCACACAAGTCTTTACAAAATACAGTAGATTGGTCTTTACTCACTATGACACTTGCTTTCAATATGAATCTGGCACAATTTCTATGGAATGTGTTTCTGATAGACACAGTGCGATGCCAAGTAAGTGGTACATTAAATGTATATAACTTTCAGACAGAGAATATTCAATTAACCAATTTTTTAAAAAAGCCTCACATTTATTTCAGTGCAAGGTCACATCAGGCTATAAGCATTATCCTGACAGCTCTGGTGGGGCAATGGTAGTTTTCACCTCTGAACCAGGAAGCCTGGGTTCAAGTCCTACCAGGTCCTGAAATGTGCAATAACATTTCTGAACAGGCTGATTAGGAAATGTTTATAATATTAGCGAAGTGACAGGAAACAAATACTGGCGAATGGTGGTTTGGGGGCTCATGTGGTGCAATGGTAGTGTCCCTGCCTCAGGAGGCCTGAGCTCAAGGCCCACTCGCTCCAGAAATGTCTGGACAGGTTGATTAAAAATATCTATTTGTGCTGTCCCAATGTCTCCCAAATTTTTTCTACTGCTACCCCACTTCAAATGTATGAAAATTGTTGTGATACTTCTGTAAGAGAAGCGGAAGGGAACCTATGACAGCAGAGGCAATGGAGAGGGAATCTGTGAGGGGAAGGGAAGGAGGTGCAGATACATGACAGTCAATACAGTCACTGAGTTTATAACTTCAAAAGTTTCACTCAAGATGCCAATTGGGATCCCCACCCTCAGTTTGTGAAATCCTACACCTGCCTGCATAGTTCCAGCTGTGTTAATGCTATAAAAAAATGGTCTTCACAAATAAAATCACACTGGGTTAAAATACTTTGGTCAGCCTTCACAGTATCTCCTTCTTTGGATGTAATCTTTTCCTCGTCATGCATCATGAATACAAGTTTTTGTTTAATTTGAAAGTATTCATTTAGTTTACTCGAATGTTCTCAGTGAACTGCAACCTACTTCACCCCACTCCCTCACAACCATCTCCATCCTGCTCCTTGGAAACCACCATAAATGCTGGTAGTGATTCATTTGAAATTGTATAGACACAGTACAACTTCGTCTCTCTCCCTGCCTGAGAGATTTTTTTTAAAAACTAAATTAAAAAGCCATTCAGTGATTTACCTTAGCAAAAATGTCATTAGTGCACAAATTCAGGAAATGAGATGACAAGTAAAAGTAGAATTAGGCAGTTTTGCTACATGGCTTGTTTTTATTACTTGAACAGAAAAACAAGCTCGAATTCTGCAATGCAAACATGGGCAATTGAGTTACCATTTTGCACCAAAGTCCTTACAGTCCCTTCACTAAAAGTTTTCTCTGACAACATGAGTGCTGGAGACTACCACAAAGTACTAATAACTCAACTAATGTTGGTCTTGCAACTTGCCAAATATGGGGCTTCAATCAGCATGTCAAACAAAAGTGCTGGAAAAGCTCAGCAGGTCTGGCAGCATCTGTGGAGGAGAAAACAGAGTTAACTTTTCGGGTCCGGCAATCCTTCCCCATAACCCTTCCTCAGTTCTGAGGAAGGGTCACCGGACCCGAAACGTTAATTCTGTTTTCTCCTCCACAGATGCTGCCAGACCTGCTGAGCTTTTCCA